TCAAATTTTGTGGATAACAATTGTAAAAAATGAGTGAAAACAATCCCACGGACAATGCGACGGATTTAAGGTTATGTCAAGGTACGTCTCTTGTACGCATTCAACATACATTATGACGCATTCACATACATTATTAATACAAATACATTTTCCATGGGGAGACGATGAGGCAACCACAAGCACTTCCACTGGTTCAAGAGGTCCACGAGGGGAAAATGCACAATATTACCGTTATGACAGAGCACGGTAGAGAGCGGAGCAGGAAAAAGAGTCGTTGAATAGAACTATTGATCCTTCTACGACAGCTGATTCTTCTACAATTAACGTCGCAGGTTACGAAGTTTAACTTCTTCCGCGTGGAGGGACTCCACGCACTATTTTTTCCTTATACCGGCGATTCTGCTTATGCGTTTTAACACAAAGACCCGATATGAAACGAAAAAAATTGTTATGCATCCCATAGGATGCGAAAAAAGTGGTTATGCATCCCCTGTCACAAAAAAAAAAAAAAAANAAAAAAAAAAAAAAAAAAAAAAAAAAAAAAAAAAAAAAAAGAAATATTATGCACCTCTAACCTCTAGAACAGTGGTTTCCAACTGGCGGCCTGGGGGCAGCATCCGTCCCGCGAAGCCTTTTTTTGAGGACCGCGAACTAAAATATATTAGTTGTCATTTTTTTGCGGACAATTTTCGTAAAAAATCTATATGGGTTTAAAATACTTTTCTCGTTAATAAAAACCTAATTTTCTCGTTTCTGTGAAAAAATTACTTCTCAGATTTTGCATCCAAGAAAATATTTATTCAAATACAAAAATAATCGTGTATGTTGCTCTTTTTTATTTNTTTTTTTTTTTTTTTTTTTTTTTTTTTTTTTTTTTTTTTTTTTTTTTATTTTGTGAATAAAATTTAGCATGTGTGTATCAGAAACTTTCTATTTGTGTTTTTAATTGTGGCCCCCGCCCCCAGCCTCATGTAAGTTGGAAACCCTTGCTCTAGAATGAGTAAAAACGTGTCATTCTAGATCGTCAAATTTTTAAGAAATTTATAAAAGCAATAAAGGAACAGAAAACCAGACTATAAAAAGTTTAAAAAAAATTTAAAAAACTCTTTCTTTTTTAACAGCAAGGGAAGATAAAAATAATTCTGATAAGGAAAAGTTCACAAGCCAAACTCCTGGAATTCAATAAAATTTTTACAGGTGTTAGAAGAACTTATAGATAAAAATTAAGTTTTAAAAAATAAATAATTCCATAATCAATACTTTTCAACATAAAAATAAAATAACGTCTAGTTGATTTATTTAACTTAAGGGGGAAAAAATGATAAGATTGCACAGTTAAACTCAAAAATGATCTAGGCACCATATTGTACAAGGAGAGCCTTTGCCCAGCAGAGTATTTCTTACCTTTTTTTAATCAACTTTAAAAAAGATAAGAAAACCATGTTTGTGGCATTTCACAAATTGTGTTTCAAATGCAGTAATAGTGCATTTTATGTGGAGCAACTTATTATTTTTAAATAAAGTGCTTTGACTTAATACTTTGATAATAATAAAATACTTTTAAAATAATAAATACAAAATTATTTTATTGTAATTGTTTTTCAATATTACCTAAGTATTTTACATAAAGGGAGCAAACATTCAATGATATTTTGAAACAAGTTTTTTTTTTTCTAAATTAAGAAAATTTAATTGTTGGCTTCAAATACAGAATTTAATTTTGTCAAGTTTTTAAATATAAGTGTTTTTAAATGAAAAAAAACATTTCGTAAAAAGTTACTTAATGTTTTAATTACATTTTAAAGTTTCTATATATTCTTCTTTTAAATTGTGTTTTATAAAAAAAATTTTACTGAAACTACTTGTTTTGATTTTTCTTAAAACTCTTTTTAATTTTTACAAAGATTAATCTTTTTAAAAATGCTATTTTATAGTTTTTTTAAACTACTTTTTTAATTACACGTTTAAGCTTTTACTAAAACTACACGTTTTAATTGCCCATATTTTTTGCGTGAAATATATTGCCCATTTCATCAGCATCATTGTTGGTCCGACAAGCCAGTATGGGCCAAGGACTTCTTCACGAGAACTCTCCAAGCACCTTTTCATGACACAATTGAAGTCCAATTTTTAATACAGAAAATAAGGAAGTCATTTTAATCATCATTAGTCATTCATCTGTTTCGAATTGTATCTGGTTCTTTGCATATTTTATATAATTTAACTACATATTAGATCTTATAGGAAAATGTACCAAGTTCCTTTCTTGGTTAAAGTCCTCATTTCCACAGCATATGTTAATATACAGAGGATGAGGTACTTTACTTGTACAGAAGAAATTTCGTCTTTTTAGAAACCACATTAGATTTGACAAGTTTCTTTATGTCTAAAATAAGCTTTATTTTCTTCAGTTGAGTGATATTTTTAAAATTTTATTTCAGGTACAATCTCATTTTTCACTACAAATTCAAATCCATAGCTGTCAACACAGAAAGTGTTGAAGAAAAAAATCCAGTAGATTTTACGAAATAATATAAATTTCATGATAATTGTTGCAAAATATACTAAATATTTTTTGCACAGGAATTTTTATAGTCATCAAAATAGAAAAAGTTTAATATTTTCCACTTATGGTCAGGGTTCGTGATTTTTTTGATTTTTTTAAAAAGAATCAAAAAAATCAGATTTTTTTGATTTAAATCGGATTTTTTTGATTTAAATCAGATTTTTTTGATTTTTATTCAAATACACTGTAAGAACTTTAATTTATGATTAAAAAAAATTTATAAATGCTTAATCAAAATTAAATTAATATTAAAACTATATTATAACAATATTTAGAACAATATTTTAACTTACTAAAATAATTTTTCATTATAATACATAGCTTTGAATGCATAGCAACCATTTTGAAACAAATGCATGATTGAAATTTAAGGACTAGTTCAAATAGAAAATTTAAAGAATACTTTATGGGTCTGTCTAGGTTTTTCTGAGAGATAACTATTTTGGTATTTGTGCAGGTACCGGTAAATGGTAGTAAATTTCACTTGGACAGACCCCTGTACTTTAACTATTAAAACAAAGTTTCAATTAGCAAACCATAATTTTAATTTAAAATTTCTTTTCTTTCCGCTTGATTGTTAAAATGACAAAATAAATGTAACAGATTGTGTTTATAAATGTAGTCTTTCATCAAAAAATAAATATTTAACCAATATATTTTTATATTAAAATATTCACTTTTAATTCTATATCAAAATAGATAAGTTGAGCTAAAAATATTTTTTTTTTTAAATCTATGTACTCATAGGAATTTTTTTTCACAAAATTTCGTTATAGAAAATCAGATGTCAAAGATACTGTAAACATATTATGAGCAAAAATACCAGTTAATAACCCTACTGCTTCAAATAGACTTTGAAAGGAAAGAATGACACTATATCAGGAAAAAAATATCTGAATTTATTGGCTTTTTTTTTTGTTCTTTCTATTTTTGGCAATTAGGTATTTTCTTTTTAATATGCTTTTAAAAAAGCTTCAGAAATATACATTTTCCACCAATAAAATATAATGTAGATTTTAATTCCACGCTTTTTTTTTCAAAGGGTAGAATTTTAATTAACAATATTTGCATTATTTTTTGAAAAAATTCATGTTTAATAATTACTTTCTACAGCTATGCAAGTCTATATTAAGACAGCATTAAATGTTTACTTTAATCTGTACTTTCAATCTCAAGAATCAAAAGATTTTTAAAAATGTAATTTTCAATGTGTTGGAATTTAACACACACCAAGAAAGAAAGTAATTTCGTTAACTAAAATTAATTAATGCAACAACTTATTTAAAATAAATTTTGAAACTAAGTAAAGAAAATAATAAAAGTATCAATAATTTAAAACACTTTTTTTTAATCTTTTATAATCAATATATATCAAAAAAAATTAGTTGATTTAAATCAATGATTGTTTTAAAAAAATCATTTGATTTAAATCATGATTTAAATCGTGATTTAAATCAAGCTGATTTAAATCAACAAACCCTGCTTATGGTTTCACATTAAATGAATTTGAATTGTTCTATATTATGTTATTCATAACTTTGAATTTTTTAATTTTATTTCCAATAGCAGATCACAAAACAACTGTAGTTAAAAAACAGACAATAACATGAGAAACAGAAGGAAAGATGAACAATACATCAAAAACAAAACTACAGTGAGTCTATAGATCGTTCATTTTGTGAAGGGCTCTCCAATTCTTCTCCCACAAGTGTCCAGAGTTTAGTGCGGGGCAGTGCCTAGTGTGGTTTATGTCCATTTCTTCTTGAATATTACACAGTGTGCAAATAGGGCTTGAAATTATATTTATACGGAATAGATGTTTGGAAAGGCAGTCGTGGCCAGTAGCGAGGCAAAAGGTGGCCACAGACCTGTCCCTTGGCCATAGTGAAATATCCTTGGTGTCGTTTATCAATTTCTTGTCTTTGTTTGCCTCTTTTATGTTTTTCCAAAAAGACTTTTTAATTAACTGCTTGGCGGTGTGATAAGGAATTGGTTTATTTATTATTTGTGTAATTTCGTTGCTTTCTTTGCCAAGGAGTCTGATGATTGATTTCCCTGGAGTCCGCAGTGTGCTGGTCATAATTTTGAATAGTAATAGGTATTTAATTCCTCTAAGATAGTTAACTGAATTTCATAAATGAGGCTCACTTTATAATGTATTAGTGACACTTATTTAAGTATTCAAGAAAACAATAATCTGCAAAACAATTCTATTTCAACAGGGATTTTTTAAGGAAACTTACTCAACTTTAGGGAATTTTTTAAAATGTACAAACACTAGGAGAATTTTTATTAAACCAGTAGAAACTGGCAAAATAAAGTAGTCTACTGGAAAATCCAGTAGAGTTGGCTGCTATGCAAATCTAATGTTATTGAAAATAGAACAGTTTCAAACTTGTAACTATCAATGTCGATCTTTTTCAATAAATAAAAATCCAAATATAATTAAAATTTATTGCTTAACAAACATAAATAAAATATAGTACATAGTATTTATCAGAAGGCTTTGACAGCATCGTTGCCAACCTTCTTCTCTTTCCTTTTGTTGTGTGTGACTGCTTTGTTTTTCAAAACAACATCTTCACAGTCAATAGGTTCAATTATTTTTCCCATTTTGGTGATCACTTTGGGTGCCACTAAGCTCTGGAAGCTACTCTGAGGATTCCAGGTGTGACCAACGGGCTGCCTGATGTAGCTCTCAAACTGATGGACATTTGTGAAAGGGAATGGTAAACTGTTAACCTAAGGTAAGAAAAACTTTATAAATACTAGTGGAGTTTGTTTAGTGCAAAAGTTTTTCATTCAAAATCATTATTAATTCTATAAATTTACTTAGTATGCAATCGCAACACTTTTTTTACATTAGAAGAACATACTATAGTGTTCGAATTAATTGGGACAAGCAAGATTTTCTCATTCAAGTTGGTATGGGATTGCCAGTGATGTCCCGAACCGCTTCAAAGCAGTTATATCTGCCTTGAGCAGCGGTGACGGATAGACCTTCACTATAATTTACTCGTCTGACTGGTTTTAGTGTATTTGTAGTTCAGTTGTGAGCATTTCAGTGTGGAAACTGGTGGTTATAATTTTGAGTTTAGTCTAACACAAGTTATGTGCTTATAAAAGATTGATATTAGTCCGTGGAAGCGCTCTAAAATTATCGCTCTTAATAAACACACTTCTATGACTGTAAGAAACATCGCTACAGCACTTGGTGTAGAGCAATCTAGTGTTTCCAGAATTCTTAGAGCATTTTAAGATTCCGACTCATCCTCTCCAAAAAGAAAAGGAAAATGTGGACGCAAACGGAAAACTACTCCAAGAACTGATAAAAGTCTAATAAGAAATAGTAAAATTAATCCAAGAAAGACGAGCACAGACCTCCGAAGGGATTTATTGGATTGTGGTGTTGATGTGAGTACTTCAACTGTACGAAAAAGGCTTCTAGAAGTTGGACGTAAGGCAAGAAGACCAAGGAAAAAACAATTTCGAACTCAGAAAATGATGAAAAAACGTTTAGCATGGGCCAGAAAATACCAAAAAAGGACTGTAAATGACTGGAAGAAAGTGGTTTTCATTGATGAAACACATTTATTTGTGCAGGGACACAAATCAAGTGTAGTTAGACGAAGTGAAGGCGAAAGTCTGAGACCAGATCATATCCAACAGACTGTAAAGCACCCTTCTAAACAAATGTTTTGAGGTTTCTTTACAACAAATAGCACTGGAAGCTTAGAGTCTCTAAAAGGCATGATGAATTCAGCCAAATACATCGATATATTACATAGTAGGATTGTTCCATTCATGGAAACATTCGACGGAACATTTCAACATGATTTGGCCCCTTGTCACAATTCCAAACTGGACCAGAATTTTATGCGAGAAAACAAAATAAAAGTGCTTTATTGGACTGTTAATTCACCAGACCTAAATCCCATTTAGAATCTGTGGCATATTCCAAAAAATCGCTTAGCCAAGATGAATTGCACGACAGCAGAACAAATTATAAAAAGTGCTATTCAAGTATGGTTCCACGACGATGAAGTCAAGACACTAGTGGAATCAATGCCAAAACATGTCCTTGAAGTCATATCTGCTAAAGGAGGACATACTTCATATTAATACAGACATGTATCAATGTAACTTAAGGTATGTAATGATTAAAAGCTAAAGTTTCAATAAATCACTTTTTTTTTTCATTTGTCCCAATTAATTCGAACAGTATAGTATGTTAACATGTTTCTGTGATTTTACAATTATGGTAGAGAAGTCTTTCTCATTTCTCCTTTTGGGGTTTGTACAAATACTATGTAAGCATGCTTTTGGCAATTTTAGACACTGCTCTGGACTTGCCCCTAAATATAAGCAAATTACATAATCCCTTATACTTATGTAAGAAAGTCGAAACTCCTCCTTTGTTTTTTGCTTTGACTTTGACAGTAGTAATCTAATTTTAAAATTGAATTGAAATAAACAATGTAACTTTACAGAAAACAAAATTTATCTTTCAATTTCTTTTATAAAATTTTAAATAGAATATTCTTTAGGAATCCTTCTAAATATCTTTACTTTTGAAACTAGTACCAAAAAAAAATTTCTAACATTTTCCTTTCTTAAATTTAACTGATATTTCACGATTTTTTCAAGTATCTTTTTCTAATTAGTTGTCTACATTTGCATTAAAAAAGAAATTTTTTTCTTGAAACTAATGTGATTTTAATATCGTAAGTAAATATTAATCAGATCCAACCTCCCTAGTCAGGGAAATGAAAAAATCACACCCCTCTTTCAATAGGTGCTTACACAATACTTGAATGACCACTTAAAATTTTTAATCCAAACAAAAACATTCAAAATATTTTTCATGTAACGAAGTAATTTCTACCCTACAGTATAATTTTTAGATGCTTATCTTCCTGATTTCTGTCCTTGTTGGAAACTTTCAAACATTTTAATTTTTGGTCATTTTAATTTGACTATTTTGGCTTATTTAATTTGGCTAGAAAATGACTTATTTTCTTCTTTTATCAAAGTTTAAGTTTTTGAATGATTTGGTACTCTAGATGAAAATGGAAAAACGACAGATGACACTCATACTTTTTAAAAATGGGCAGAGAACTTATAACTGCTTCATTTCCTATAGGGGAAAAGATTTTGAATAGTGTAATGGACAACAACGATAAGGGTTAAGATATGAATTGTGATTCTGAAAATGAAGACTCGATAGAATCCAAAACTACATTGGGCTGAAATGTGTCATATTGAAACAATATTTGGACATATTTATTCATCACTTTCCAGGACTCAAACTTAATGGCTCAAGAGGGTGATCCAAGATATGCTAATTGATTAGTGCAGATGATTTTTAAGTTACGAAAATTAGACATAAAACGTACTATCTCTGAATAAACATATCTTTTTTTCAACGGATTCAGGTTTCTGACCTCCAAGATAGAAGAGGTCGCCTCAATCTGGGAAATATGGTACCTATAGTTTAGTCAGGAGACCCATTCATAGTTTGAACCCCTTAATGCTAATATTACTTTTTTCGTATTTTGCCATATCTCAAGAGCTTTTTGAGTAATATAAAAAAAATTTGTACACAATTATAAAATTTGTTCATCCAAAGAAAATAACATGCAAAAAGAAAATTTTAGTAAACATTTATTATTTAATTCAATAATATTCCAACAAATTTAGAATTGTATGGTATACAATTTTTTACATCATTTCAAAGTACTAAGTACTTTGCCTCATTTTTAAGTATATTTCAAGTAATTTTGGATGGGAAAATCGATTGAATAGTTCCTCAGAAATTGAAATTTAAATAAACAACTTTTTTAGAATCGGAAACTATTCAACCAATTTCCCTCAAATTTTGTATTTTGCCATGTAAAAATAATTCTTTAGAATGATGCAAAAAATATATACCTTACGATTCAAAAATTTTCAGACCATTATTACATAAAATATTAAAAAATATTATACATTTTCTAAAATTTATTTTTTTGCATGGAATTATCTTAGGATAAATGAGTTTTATAATTGTGTGCAAAAATTTTTCAATTTGCTTAAAAAGTTCTCGATATATCGTGAAATATGAAAAAAGTAAAATTAACATTGAGTAGTCTAGGATTGCTCTCTTGACAAAACTATAGGGATCATATATCCCAGATTGCGACTACCCCCTATTTTTTGGAGGCCAAACATCCGAATGCATTGAAAAAAAAGGGTATGTTTATTCAGAGAAAGAATGTTTTGTGTCCGATTTCGTAACTGAAAATATGCCCGCACTAATGAATTAGCATATTTCAGATCATCCCCTCGAACCATTAAGATTGAGTTCTAGAATGTGAAAAGTTCAAAAGTTATTCAAGATGGACCTTTTTCTTTTTTTGGTGATCAACACATTTCACTGCCTTTGCCTTCATTCAAAACTGAAACATGGGGCCAATTAGTCTTATTTTTATAAATTTATACTGAAACAAAGTTAGATGTTAGTATTTCTCAATTGTGGATATAGATGCATCTTCATCACAAAACAAACTTAATACCATAATATGACTATTCAAAACTATTAAAAGAGGTTCCTCAGAAATATGGAAGAAAATGTGCAAAATTCTATTTTTAGTGATGTATATGTGATATAAGTTATATCGGTACAGTGATAGCAAATGTTAAAAATTTTATAAAAATTTACAAAATTCAAAACAATGCAAAGCGAATTCAGAACAATGAAAATAAAGAGTAGAATAATATTTTGTTTCGTCCCATCATTTTCTTCTTATTTTAACAAATAATATGTCTTTCTAGAAAATAAAGAAAGGACTATTTTTAATACTCTTTAAGTTACTTCACTGGGCTGAAAATACAATGCAAATTCCCAATGTAACAAGATATTTTTTCGTTATTGTTTCATCGTGTAATAAAACATTATTGCATTTTTTCATATAAATAAACTGTAAAACTAATGATTTAGCAATGCATTAATTGCTATATATGTATTTTATAGTATAAATAAATGTTCAAAATAATTTTTTTAATTAATTTTTAATAATGTTTAATTCGAAGTGCCTATTTTGGCTGTAGATTATGGTCTGTTGGGTTAAAAAAGTCACAGCAAAGTTGTAAAATAAACCAGATGATACACTTTTATGTTATATCTTACATAATTAAAGTATCAGCCAAGAACAATTAAGTTATAGTAAAAAAAAAAATTCTTTCATTTCGAACATTTTTTTTATCAGTTAGGGACGATTGATGTATGAACTATAAAGTAGGGATTTTACCTGGTGTTCCGATGCTTTTTTGTCCTTATCTTCATTTATAATGACATTTCCTAAAGTGTTTTTCCTAGCAGGAGCTGATGGAGCTTTGATAAAAAACCTTTATGTAGGAAAAGAAAAAGAAACAATACACTTTTTAGAAAAATTATTAAATATTACACTTGAACAAATATTATCCACATAAAATAATGTAAGGAAACATTTAATCAGTGATATTAAGATTAGACATAAACATTATTCAGGATTTACTTTTATTAAAATGTCTAAATCACTAAACAAGGATTACATATCTAAGCAATTAGATTCTCAGTCTAACCTAAGATCTCAGAGATAAAAATTTGAAATGTTTCTAATGGTAAATTAAAAGATATATATACTAAGGGAGTAAAACTAAGCATAAAATAAAGGGAAAAAGAAAAATGTTATACCGTCTCTTTTTTCTCTTTGATTGTTCAATGTTAGGTCCACCCCAAGACCCCCAGCCTGGCAAGAATAAATCAATTCCTTTCACTTCATTTGCTTTTTCGGTAGATTCTTTTTCTTCTCTGAAATATTTATTTTAAAAATTGATACAGAAATTAAATTGAAAATATATATATATATATATCATACACTTTCAAAGCTTATTTTTAAACAGCATTCATCACACACAAAACAATAAAATTGGAGAAATTTTATTAATTAAAAAAAAAAAAGAAATACAGAAATTCTTACCTACCTTGTTTTTTCCTCAGGGCAAGACAGAAAGGTAAGGCCACCCTTAAAATTTTTTATGCGGTTTTATTTATTTTGTAACTAGGTATTTTATTGCCAGCCAGTGGCCAGTAGAAACATTTTTAATAAAGTCCACTTTTTCAAAAAAAGAAAATTCAAACTATTCAAAAAATTTTATAGACCTCTCTAAATAGGTTCATGAAAAATTTAAGCAGTGCACATAACATTTTCAGATAATAAAATTTAGGGTTTGAGTTTTTGAACTAATAATGAAATGTAACTAGCAAATTTTTAAAAACCAATTTTTTATATTCGGTCGTTTTGTGGCTGGAGAGGATCCTTAATTTTACCCTATATAACTAGGAGCCCAGTCGCAGAAATCCCCTAGCACAGCAGCAAATACTGCAGATTTTTTTTTTTTTCAAACTTAAAAAATAAAAATTATCTCAGAATCTGAAGATTATATTTCCTTTAACAAACAAAATAAGCCCCAATAAATAAATAAAAATCAAACTAGCCTAAAATATTACTGAAAAAAAAGTTTTTAGCAAACCAGTTTTTAGCAAATTTTAGTCCATACCTTTATCTATATAACATGTGCTAATTTTGCTGTACATATGTCAGATTAAGCCTAATTTTTAAAATTATATTCGCTGGCGTACTGGGTTAGGGTTGCAGACAAATTTGAATGTATGGAGATTGTGTTGCAGATTAACTCTCTAAATTCTAAAGGGACAACATGTAACATAAAGAAAATCACCTGAATTCAGCTATACAGTCTTCATCTCCAAAGGCTTCGCTCATGGGCATCACATCCCCCAGCACATCATCTAAATCTTCATCCCCAAGTGTGAAGCCATCAGGGGCAGCAGAATCTAAAAACTGTTCTTTGGATAGAAAATCCTTCATGTCAACATCTGTAGGCACCTTACTTGGAAGAGTACACTTGTTTGTAGAACTTTTGTTTACCTTTAAACACATAAGAGAATAATAATTTTAATAAATGTAAGATACATGCATACACCTGAAAAGTAATACAATTTGCAAATATTTTTGAAGTTGTCCATTTTTTAAGAAACTGATGTTTTTCTTGGTATTACTTCCAATTGTATATTAAAAGATGATTGAATATCAAAAGGATAAATCTATAAATGAGGGTCAGCAGTCCAACAGTGTTCCCAGATTGATGTCCAAGGAAGAGCAGGTGAGACAAGTCCATCTCTTTGTAGAGATTACAAAAAGGATTAAGAACCACATTGATGCAACAGATTTCATCCTAGACCACAAAGAGACACTGAGAATCTGTTCAAGCCATGGTCTATTGGAATTGTGATTTTTGAGTTCCTTGCGGAAAGAGTCTCAGAAGATGTTCTTTATTAGACATTATTAAAAGGAAGTCTAGAATCTCTGGAGAATAGAGGCCGCCTCATCTCCTTATTCCACAGTGGGCCTGAATCCATTGGAGAACTACTGTTTTATTATTACTGGCAAACCAGTTGAGGAGATTTAATCCATTATCGATGGTTAAAGTTCTAGAGTGGTTGAGAGCATTAATTGCTTGAAGTGCAGCCTTTGAATCAGATAATAATACAACTTCTAAAAAAGAGTCTAGACGTGGTCGAAGTTGTGACAGGGCCTGGTAAATGGCCGCAATCTCACCATCGAAAGCTGATCTATAAGTATTGTGTAGCTTTGAGGAGAACTCCTCCAGACTGAAAGTCTGAAAGTGTTTCCCAAACAGCCCCAGACTGAAAGTCTGGGGCTGTCTGCTGATATGGTAACAAGCGAGAGCGCATTTCCAATGGGGGTGAAATGGCGGAGAGAAGGTGTCAATTGGCTTACTCACGACGACCTACGCTAAAATTAAGACACCCCACACCCCTATTCGAAGTGGCCTTTTCTTGTAGCCATAGTACCCGCCACGACGCGAGACGGGTGTCTGGAGGAGTTCTCCTGAACGCCGCACTATACCTATGGGAGTATAAAGGCAAAAAAGTTCACAGTAAACACAAGCACCGGTGTTAACGTAACCGCTCACTATGGAACTATCAATATAAATTTTTAACCATTCCTCCTTAGGGTAAAAGGATCCCATTGTTTAGAGAGCGAGAGGTTTTAAAACTTCTTCACTAGTCTCTGACTTTGAGACTTTCATGATTAGATCAAGCGGATATAAAATAGAAATTGATGTCAGTGAATGCTTCTTAATGTAAAAATAAATTTATTAAGAAGAGTAAATTTTGACTATCAAAATGTTTAAAATTTTGTCATTAATTGCGGCTTTTGTTTTCAAAACCAACTCAGCCTACTTTAATTCCTAAATTAACATTTTCTAGTTTCTTCAATATACTTTAAACATCCTTTTACTAAAGCTGAATTATTTACTTGATAAAAATATTTTAACAAACAAATATGACTATATTTTAATTTTGTTCGGTGTAAATCTAATTGCTAAAAAAGCTTATTTTAAATTTTTTTTGCTAACTTTAGAAGAAAAAGAAACTTTCTTATAAAATAATTTAATAAATAAACAAAACCACGATTCAAAATTTACTATTTCAATCTATTTATGGAAAAATTAAAGCAGCAAGCACTATACTAACTTTAAAGGAAGCAGTAACTTTTTTATAAAGCAATCGGATGAATAGATAGCATTTCTACCAATAAACATACTTTTTCTGGTATAACAGGTTCCTCTGGAGTTTTGTTAGAAGAATCATTTGTTTCCAAGGTAATGTTAATGGAATTATGTGTGGCTGGTGGCCTAAAAGGAAAAAAATAACATTTTTAAGTAAAATCAAATGGCAACTTCAGAACAATGCTCTTAACACACAGTAAAAACAAAAATGTAAGTAAAGCAAAACAATAAGCTTGAAAAACAGTAAAATCCATAATATTTTACTAAATTTATTAAGCATATTTTATTTTAAACTTTACAAACACTGAATTATAAAAAAAATTGCTAAAAATTATTAATTTATAAATCAATACGTTGCATTTTTTTTATTGCTTTTTGTTTATAATACTCAGCAAATAAAAAAGAAGTTTATTTAAAATTTATTAAAAAAGAAATTTATTTAAAAGTTAAAATTTTAAAAAAAATTAGGATGCTTACTTTTTCCAGAAAACTGTATAAATTCCATATTACAAAAAATTGCTAGATATTTACAAAATAAATAAATAAATAAAATAAAATAAAGTCTAATTAAAAGGCATAAGGTTGATAAAACTATTTATTTATTTTATTTACTGAGATGACAAGTGTAAAGTCACTAAACTAATTTAGCAAGCTTCCCAATACTTTAAAATAACTGTATTAAAAGCATTTGTTAGTTTGCGCGGGAAATAAAACTATCAAAGAAAATTTAACAAAAAATCTTATAGTTTACAAAAAAAACAAAGAAAAAGAAATGGAAGAAACCTAAAAGGAGCAGAGGGTTTTTCTTTCGAATTAAATTTATTTCAAATAAGGAAAACAATGTAATTAAGCATATTATATTAATATTAGAAATTTAATTTAAGTTTTAAACTCTATTTTTAACAAGTATTTTTTATTTAAATTAAAATTCTAATAAATAAGCTTTTAATTTATTAATTTAAAATTCTAATTTGTTTTACTGTTTCCTATTCTTAATAAAATAATGATAATTCAAATAAAACATATGAATTTTATTGTTCCAACTGCCAGGACTAAACTATTGGCTAATTAATACTGTTTACTATTCCTGCTTGGTTTATTATTGCTTTAAACAGCAATAATAAACCAAGCAGCAATAATAAACCAGGACAACAGCAATAATAAACCAGGACATACTTTTAATATTGATTTAAAAACGCATAAATCTAATTGTTCCACTTACCAAATTTGCTTAACTAAAATTTATTGTTAAGCTCATCATTTACTGTTTACCGTTCTAAATTGAATATTGATTACTCAAAATAAAACAAGTAAATCTTACTGTTCCAAATTTTAAATTAAGTCATCAATTAATTCAGATCAAATATTTATATAAAGTGCATATGTAGTGGATTATTTATTTTTACTATTAGTGTAGTGATTTATTTTTACTGAGATAGCATAGAACAGTTTATAGGCCTTCTCAACACCGTAGAAAAACTAATTTTAGCAAATAAGTAATCGTTTAAGTAAAATCATTAAATAAACTTACTCTTCATCATCATCGGTGTTGTTTCCAAACGTCTCTTCAATCAGACCAATGTCATCCATAGATGGATTTCTTTTTGCAGAAGAATCCAAATTAGCTTGGACATTTTCTGCAATTTCAACTTTCTCCCTCAGTTGACGACCCAGTGACAAATCTTCCTTTAAGATGCTGCGACTCTACGATTAGAATAACTTTGTAAGAAAAGAAGAAAGAAAAAGTTCTACAGTATTCTTTTTGAAAAAGTCTCACATTAAGGCCCATCTGGATACATACATATTACGTAACATCAAATTAGTATTTAAAATATTTAGAAATTGAATTGCTTATCTTTATTGACAAGGATGGGAAGGAACATGAGCAATGTTTGTGTAGGAAAAAAAAATTCCCTTGTTGAGGTATAGAAATAATTAAAATTTGGAAGATGGGATCACATTGTGAAAAAAAATATTACATAACCGCATAAGACATATATGTTTTTTTTTCCAATGGCAGGCACTGAATTTGTATCTTTGCCTATACTATGCCAGAATTGTTGCTCATTTCGCGTTACCCAGTAGGTACCTGTGAACCAAAGTCACGGAGGCGAGCAACATTGCCCACGCCACACTGCCACAAACCCGTTTATAGGGTGGGCCACATTCACACATCATACACACACACAACAGAGGACAGCACAAAGAGAGAGAGAGAAACATCCATGCCCAGAGCGGGATTCGAACCCGCAGCCTATGGCTTCGCAGTCAGGCACGCTAACCGCTCGGCCACCTGGCCGGCGCATAAGACATATATATACTTCACAAACATGTAGGATTATGACTTAATTTTGGTGATAAGGTTAAAAAAATATCCAAACCCACTAAAAATAAGCTCAGAGAGTATTTGAATTGCCCCTTTACAGCAATAAGTTTCTCAGAAGCAGAAGTATTTCTATATTTTGTTTCACATTAATTGTATATTTTGTTCTGAGTTGTTTTAAAAATTAAATCTTTCTCCTATGTAGATAGAAAACAATAGGCATAGGACAAACAAAAAGTGTATTTTGTGAAGTTAAAAACTTATTAATGCATAGGCATGTAGAATAGGCATTTTTGTTGTACACATAAGCATACAAAAATGGTCAATCAAAATGTTGCATCTCAGTAAAATTTTTGAAATTTCATTTGATAAACCAGAAAAAAGATGTTATAGGTAATCTGATTATCCATAGCATGATTGGTAGGGAGCTGAACCCATGTCCAAGAGTTCGATCCCCATCGGCCAAAGTTTCCCCGTGCATTAAATGGTGACTGAGGCATGTTAAATCTGTCGAGTCGCAAAGTCCTCCATGCTCTCATAACAAATCAATACTCCGGGGGGTACTGGTCCAGGAGTTTCCTTGTCTTCTGGATTGGTTCAAAATTATAAGGCTATGGAGTTGAACATTAGTAATCATAAACCCAAAATTTAGTTGGTTGTTCAACGACGGATATAAAATCTGATTATCCAGGAGTATTTAAAAACTCACTGTTAGTAGGAAGTTTATAAAATATTTAGGATACATAAAATGAATTCCATTCTTTTAAATTTAGACTAAAAGAAGCTGACAAACTTGATTAGGGTTGGCAACTATTAATATACGTATAATAGATCAATATTTTATGTGGCTTATAAAGCAACATAATTAATGAAGGGGGAAAAAAGAGGCCCCTCATCATCCAGATTCTGCAAGAAATTTTGCATGTAAAATAATGTCTTCACTGACTAAGCATATGAATAGTTGACCCAAATTTAATTCCATTTCTCTTAATTGCATTCTTGCACATAACTAACAGGCTTTTACTATGCTAGGTCAATGGAATGAAGTGCACAAGGGGGGAAATTTTATACAATCTTACTTAAGGCCTAAAAGATAATGATTATAAAAATAAAAAAAATACATCTAAACATATTTTCAAAAATAAAGTATAAATTGATTTATTTTCCATTTTTGTTAGAATAATGATAAAAGTCAGTTTTCAGAGCACTAAACCATAAAAGAATTAGTTGTGATTCAGTTAATTATTACAGTCTCAAAATGCATTAAAATCCAAATTATAACTTAAATTTAAATAATAATAATTTTTAAGTATAAGGCTCAAAAAGTGATTTAATTTACACCTGGTATACCAACTTGGCAAAGAGTGAAAAAGTATTTTATTTTGTCCTCGAACTTCTAAAAGAATTAAATTATAAAAGAGCAGATAAATTTCGTGCTTATTTCCACGAATGCAATGTTGCAGTTTTAAATAATGCAAAAAAGGGGATAAGCTTAAATTAATCTAATCCACATAAGGAACAGAGCAAAAAAACTATACATAACACTTACTATACATACTATACATAATATTATTAAAAAAACCTATACATATACATAACTAAAGTACTCACATCAGGATTATATTTCGCTCTAAGTTTTTGCTGCTTTGCCCATTTTCCAGTGTTCCTATGCTTTAATGTTACTCGCTCCTAAAGGGGATATACATAAACTTTAATTAAATACATTATTACGATAAATATACTTAGCATGAGTTTAAGCAAACTGATAATATTTTAATAACTATTTATTTATGCAATAATTACTACAAATAACACAAAAATGGGGAGGATACAGCAGTTTGGATAAAAAGCTGAGCATTGTGAAATTACATAGAACTTTAAAAACAACAATTCCAAATTACAAATAAAATATTAATAAAAATTACTATTTAAAAGAATAATTTTATGAAGTATAATATAGTTTAAAAATATTTATTCATAAATATATTCAACAGTTTTATTTTAAATTGTAATTGGATTTACGTTTTTTAAAATCAGAGCATATACACATTTTTAAGTAAAATATTTCAATAATTTCAAATGCAACCAAATATAAAAAAAATTAGTGAATGACCCCTCAATTTACCATTTTCACAATTCTGTGAAAGATAAATTGTAAATTAAATTTAAATCATTTAAAAAAAACTATACAATAAGATCAATTCAAATTTTCAGAATACCTAATCTCTATCATACTACAAGATTTGATTTTGTCTCTTTAAAATAATAAATAAATTTATGACACCCAATTATCTCTCATAAAATTTCATGAATAAAAATTTTATTCAATCAAGTTTTTCTTCTTCTTTATAATAGCATCCAAGACTTGTAGAAATTCTGAAACAACAAAATCGTTAGAATAGCTAAGATACTTTGATCACTTTTGTGTATGGTCCCCTAGTTCAATATATTAAATTTTTGAAATTTAAGAATGGTTAATATGGTTATGATGGAAATCAAGCAACAAAAAAAAAGAAAAGCGAAATCTGCAGATTCTCAGAACAGTGGAGTTTTCGATAACATTTCATTTAAAGCTCAACATCTACTAACTTACAAATAATCAGGGGTGATTGTGAGCCCAAGTCAAAATTCCGGAAAATTCATTGAGTTAAAAAAAAAACGAAAAAAAAGAACAGTTTAATTGAAAAATTAGAAAAAAATTTAAACAAGGTTTTTTTTCCTTTTTCTCAATATTTCTTAGTTCACTTAAAAATATTTAAAATTTTACACATACCTATACCATTTACACATACCTGGAGAAGTAATTAAAATTTACAAATATGTCTTTCTTTCTTGAGTTTATGATTATAACAAATATTTACTGATAAAAAATGAAAATTAATCATGAATATGAGCTCTCTGGCTCTCCCTTACAAACAAATAAAATAAACTGTGTTTTTAAGTTCCACCTTTGAAAATCCGGAAATTTCTGTGATCAATGATTTTTTTTAACATCTGGACCTTCGATCTCCGGAAACTTCCGGATCACTGTTAGCGAAAATTCCAAAAATCTGTATTTTTTCCGGAGCACAATCAGCCCTGAATAATGGACGAAGTGGAGATTGTTTGCGTGTTTCTATTTTAGGGATTTTAATAATTATTGAAGCTAAAAAAACAAAAACAAATTTAAAGGCAAAATAGATTAACACTACAGCTGTTTTGATGCAATGGACAAACAGCATCACCAATAACAAAATAAAACAGAAATATCTGTTAAGACAAATATTGTACTACTTTGTACCGCACATAAAATAAACATTAAAAAAGTACACATAATACTGCATAAAGGAACATATTATAACTTCAGTTTGATAATAAAAAGCCTCCATATGAGTCCAAACACTTAATGAAAGATTGTTTTGTGTCTAAACACACAATGATTTCTTTTATTCTATGAAGTGCAATGGTGAAGGTTTCTTATTATAGAACCAAAACTATAGTAAGATTGTTTGTATCTTTTCTTCATGTTGTTCAGCCATACTTATATTTAATTTAATTAAAGCTTAAAAAAGTAAATAAGATAACGTGGAATAAATGCCATATAAAAACTATCTAGTAATTATTAATATTTGAAAACATCTTACTAAAATTCTTATCTTATCTAGGTCAGCAAGCTGTTCTAAGGCTTTTGCTGCATCAGTTTTTTGCAGCTCTTCAAATTCCTTCATAACTTTTTTTAGTTTTTCTTTTTTTAATAGTCGATGATATCTAAAAAATGTATACAAAAATATCAGAATTAGTTTGGTTTATTAATTATCCATTTAGAATCCTAAAAGAATGTATACATTTACAAGGTAAAATTTTTCAGCAAATATAATTTTAAGTTCTGATATCAGAGGTCCGGTAAAAGGAGTTATTGAGGTACGCAATGAATATTGGCCAACACAGATATTTTAAACACTATTGGTAAGTAAAGAAGGACAGTAATAGAGTCCCTTCAAGCTCTTGAATCTTAGCCACAAGCATGGGTCTCATTAACAATGATAATAAAAACAAAATAATTAATTTTTTACCTTTAAAAAGATTGATGTCATAAACTAAACTGGTCTAATAATTATAGCCAGAAAGCTAAAAGCAGAAAATTATTAACATAATAAAAATGACCAATAAAGGATTCTGCGAGCTGCAAAGATGATAAGTTTCTTTCATAGTGGGGAGAAAAAAAAGAGAACCAGAGGTAAAACTACTGTGGAAGAAATTAATTTCTTCAAAAAAAAACTCTTTTTTAAAAAGAAATATCAAAATTAAAACAATTCCCTAAACAGTTTAGAATCACAATCTAGTTTTAAAATAACTGTTTGCAGTTGTTCAATATTTTAGTTACATCATATAGTAAAACCTAATGGAAGAAATGTGATTAGTAATACCTAATAAGAATATAGAAAAACCTAATTTTACAATTAATAAAAGAATATTTTAAAATCTAGTTTTACAATTATTAACAACAGAATTGTTAAAACATCATAATCAAAATGTATTTATACTACTAAATTAACAAATCCCACGAAAACATTACAAATCATATGTTGAATAAATTACAAGTAACATATTGATTTTTATAACCAAACTCTGTTAAGTATGAATAATGAAACTGACTCCTAAAATAGTATAAAAATAGTTATTTTTTTTATAAAAGTAGATGTGAAAAATGTAACTTTCTGATACAATATTAAATTAAACTAGTTTAAATGTAAGCATCTCTTATAATACTTATTGCTTAATAATGCATTGGTCTTGTTTATTTCTTCCATTTTGACCAGTTTTTTCCAATTTCTTCCACTGTCCGAGAAGAAATAGATTTATACCAGACATTATATGCAAAACTTGGTGTGTTGAGAAAATTGAAATTAAATGTGGAAAACCAGAATTGAAACACAAAAGAAATTAATACACGAGATAGCAGCAAATTAGGCTAATTTAAAAATGCTATCAAGAGTGACTGATTAGTTTTATTTTTCCTTTTTCAATTCATAGTTATGCATTTAACATCACACACATTAGTAATACATTTAGTTTGCAAACTGAAAAATAATTTCTTTACCACAAATAATCCAAGGGCCCACTGTTTTTCCATACACACTGTGCCAAATTTTTTGAAAAAATAACAAGCATCTCTACAGGAATTCATTGGCTTGTTGCCACTTTTATAAAATTGTCTTCAAAGTATATTAGTAATCCACTGCAACTATAAATGATTATAAGTTTTCTACAAGATAATGGCAGCATCTTTTTCTCATTCCAACAAAACTTAAATAAGTGCAGTTACCAAACACTTGAGTCACTACCATATCTTGTATAACCTGTTTAAACTTCATGCCAGTGAAACATGGATCTTAACTAAGATAAAGAATGTTCACTGAGCTGTGATGGCTCAGGGGGAGATAAAGCACTTTCCTTCCAATGAGGTAATCCAGGTTTAAATTTCAATTATGTAAAATATCCCTAATATTAGATGGATCATGGATCATAATCCTTTCACTGCCAGGCTAACAATAGGAAGTTTTTGTAGTTCTCTTATTCATGTGGGTTAGTTCATCTCCATGAAGGTTAGTTTGTCCTAATGCTTGATCCAGAAGTTCCCTTGGTCCCTGGGTTAGAATCAAAATTGCAAGGCTACGGAGTTGAATATTAATAACTGTAAGCCCAAAAAATAGACTGGCTGTTCAACATCAGTTGAAAACAAGGTTCATTGAACATGTTTGAGAGATAAATTCCTCAAAAATGCTTAATGCAACTTTGATTACAGATTACTACAGAATTTATAGGTTAACCCACATATAACTCAACTAATCTGATTATGACTACTTGATGAAGCTCAGATGATAATATAAATCTTGACAGAGAAAAAGGCTCTAGAGTTAAAATAAGATTGTAAAAAAATTTTAAAAAATTAAACCCTTTGAAAATTAAAAATTGGAAGAAGCTCATGGTTCTAGGAACAGAAATGGTTGTTGCACTTGCAAAAAAGAAGTATTTAACGGTTCAGCATATTTAGTTCTGAATTTAATTAACTATCAATAATCATCACGAAAGAAAATACAGCACATTTGGTCCAGATTTCTGATAATTGACTTGCGTAATATCTAATCTTTAGTGAATTTCCCTGAAATTTACTTGTAGTATTAATGTGGTATTATGCACAGACTAATTGCCTTTTAAATGGGCATTAATAGTGAAAACTACAAATTTATATGAAAATTAAATACCTTTTGCTTTTGATTTTATTTTGACGCCGAGCCTTTGCTTCTTGATAAGATATCAAAGCACGGTGTCTCATCAATTCAGCATGCCTTAGTTTAGCCTATTAAAAAAAGAGATGCAAAATCCATAACTAGAATATAGCAAGAAAGATGAAACTCCATTAAAAATTAATTACATTTAAAATCATATATGAGTTACTTAAGATTTATTGAATTTGTGACTTAGGAAAGACTCAGCAATTCAGCAGTGATTGCAAACTGTGGGCTTTTAATGTTGCTAATAAAACTTTAAAAATTTTAAAGAATCTTCTATGCTTATTAAAATAATTATCAACAAAACCCTTATACAATATCCCTAACAGCAAAATAACTTGAGCCCAAATTAGACCAACATTCTTGAATCTTGGTTCAATAAGGGTTCAAAGAGTCATTATTTTACCGATATTAACACTACATAGAATTGTCGGATTTACAAGGTATTTTACAGCCACTTTACTACCGATATTGGCCCTATATAGAATTGTCAGATTCATCTGATATTGCATATTTATTATTCAATCAATATAGACCTTCTTCTGGCTGATATAGGTCCTATATAAGCCATTCTAGAACGAATATTAAAAAATCTAGACATCCCAATATTGGTCCCTCAGTGCATGTTCTAATAGGAACCATATAGAGCCCAAAGCAAAATATAGTATCTCAAATAAGCTTATGTTCATACAGATTATGCTTGTTATATTACAGCCCCCTTACAGCTATCCTTTCATTACAAGGAACGATACATCAGGTCCAATTCGCTATTCCACATACCAGCAATTCCCAAATGGTGTTCCGCAGAACGCTAGGGTTCCAAGAGTAAGCATTTCTTTTTTTTTAAACCTGAAATATATTTGTGTTCATCCAATTTGTATTTATATAATATTATGGTTATTTTAATGAAATTATTTATGAAAAATTGCAATAAAATTGAAACAGGAATTTTTAGAAAATTTTTTCTTAATAATAATACATTGAATAAATTACTAAAGAATATGATATATAAATTATTGCATCAGTATTCCGCTTTATCATCGAACTGTGAAATTCAAAATAAAATAACCAAATTCAGGAATAAAGAATTATTTCTTTCTAATAACCTTATCACAATTTATAACAGCTCTTTTTCAAAAATTATAATTTAGGCTATTTTATTTAATTTACACTTAAACGGCAAAAACTACAAGGCTCAACTTAGACGGCAAAAAGAAATAGTCCCAGCAGACTTGCGAATTCAACTGCCTAACATAAAACCTAATTATAAGACTTATTCAATCACATTAAATGTTTCTGAATTAATTTGAAGTTTTTTGTCTTGTTTGCATATTTACACCTGCCAATGAATGCCTTTTAAAGTCAGAGTTCCATCAAAAGAAGTTCGATCGTTTAGGGTTCGCGGCTGGAAAAAAAATTGGGAACTGCTCCCGTAAACACAATGTCATTTTAACGCCCATTAGAACACCTACACTGAATCCTTCCATTATAGCAAGGTATAATCTACAGTATTAGTATAATCTACAATACTTTTCACCTTACACCACTGTTTTCTTGTGGACAAATAGAGTCATTATTTTAATTGTAGGCTGAATTATACAGATGGAATTAAATACAGAAGTTACTGAGATGATACAAAAAAGTGACTATACTGCAACAAATATAAACAACATTATGCATAATGGGTATGGAAACTAGATGTCATTAATTTTAGTCTAGCATAAAAAAAAGAAGAAAAAAATAGGATTACAGCATTCTAGATAACTATGCTAGTGAAATATTTACCTTCAAGGGGTGAGTTAGATCACCCACGGGGGTAAATATGACTCCATTTTACTCGTTAAATGTTGATACAATAAATTTCATCTTATAAGTTTTAAAATTACTAGTTTCGCTAATATACAAAATTATAAATGTATATTTCTCATTTTTACTAGTGTTTATACATAAACAGTTCTTACCATACTATGGAAATGCATATAATTGGAATGAAAAACATAAACAAGTATCCCCACTTCATTCAATGAAAAATTTTTTTTTTTTTTTTGATATTAAGTTTCTTTTCTTTTTCTTAAGACATTATTTGATGTTCTCTCTTCTTTTTTTCTGTATTTTTTCTCCTTTTTTAAATCATTTTCTTAAAACTTTTGAATGATATTTTTCCTTATAAGCACATTTTGCTCATTTATTAACTTTTGTAAATTTGTATAAATTTTTTATAGAATCTTGTTTCTTAAAACCTCCTTCAATTACAAGTAGAAAGTTTTCAAGATATAAAGAATTTTCTTTCACAATATTTCCATTCAAAAAATAATTTTTAAAACAATTGACAGTACAATTCAATTTTGATGTTCTTGAAAATTGAAATTTCTATTTATCTTTACAAGGTATTAATTTAAATTTTATTTCATTCAGAAATTACATTTTCATTTGAATTATTATCTAGTTTTTTTTACAAATTTATAGATACAAGTTGCGATTTGGAATTTTTATTATAAAAAAAAAGCTAAAATGAAGCATGTTTTTAATATTAAGGACATAGTTCTAATGGGTTTTTGAGATGTGTGTGTGGGGGGGGGGGTTCTTTTATACATTTTGAAAGGAATTTTTTAAACATTCTTTTAAGTTATCAACATCCAAGTCCCAGTGATAAATATTTAACATAAACAAATAATTGGAAAAAAAAATCCTCAACAAAAATCCACTTCAGTAAATGCTGATAATAGATTTACAAAGAAATCAAATGAGACCATTTAGGGAAAAAAGAAACTTACTTCAGTAGCACTCATAGCTTGCAATGCTTTTTCTTCAGCAGCTGTCAGCTCTTTCTCAGGTTCTAACCTGTGTTCACTTTTTTCCAGAAGTTCAGCAACAGCAATTTCAACAGGATGCTTAGTCTACAAATATCACTTTTTTAAAGACGCTATTTAAAGCATAGCACTTTTAACTTGCAACTAATACAGTCGAACACGCTCATAACGTGCCCTGATTTAATGAAGAAATCGGAAATACATGGTTAGTACAATTTCAAGTCTATTAGCAGATAACTCCCTTTTAACAAGCAGATCCTGTTTTTATTGAGCAATAATTTGAGTTAAGCAAAAAAGCGTGAAAAAAAGCACAAATTAAGTACATATAGTGATGTACTATAATTTCAATTCTATAAATAAGTACCTTCTTCAGTGTCTAAAGGTCAAATGAATGTAGAGAAGTAAAGAGACAAAGGTATATAAAGTGGTTTAACAATTAAGGACAACAGAACAAGTTTGAACCAAGAAATAACCAATGGGGGGATAAGAAGCAGATGTGAGGGGATTTTTGGAAACCCTATGGGGCAAACTGATTGAATTAAAATGGATTTCTAAAGATTGGGAAAGTGGGATACTCAAAAGACCCTGAACAGAATTATTAAAATTTTTCAAAATATATAATGATTCCCAAAAAATAAAGTTATGAAAGTGAAGAAGTGTTGAATGATTTTAGTTGAAGGAAAATCAAACTTGTTATTTGAATTACAACTGTGTAGAGTGATAGAATGATATTCTATCTTTGGTTAATATCCTTATTTTGGAAGTATCTTCTGTGTTCTTTAAGTTATTGTTTAAGAGTGCATTTAGTTTATCTAATTTATGCACAACCATGTTGACACAAAATGTGACAAATGCCACAGTTATGAATATCAGCAATAGGCTCTACCTAGCTCTACTCTGGTAATTGGTTCTACCTAGCACAAAGTATTACCCTTTCCTTTTGTTGAATATTTTGAGAACTAGAAAGAAGTTGATGACTTGGAAAATTTGAAAATATATATCAAGAAGAATTTGAAATATATGCATCTGTCAACTCCAAAACAGATTTAAAATATACTGAAAGCTATGGTGACAACAATCAATGAGAATAATAACAAATTGAATTGATAATGCTTTTGCCATAACCATGCAATAATAAATGAAACAACATTTTTTTAACCGTATATACATAAAAAATATTTATAATTTAATAAACATAATGTAATTTAGTATTATATTTATGGCATTTTCAATAACCTGTTTTTTACGATCACACAAATTAACAAGTCCCTTTCAGCTCTTTATAAGCGAGTTTGACTGTATTTCAAGTAACTAATTTAAATAATATGCCTTATAGGGGGCCAAATATGATATAAGGAAATATTTATGAAAAATCAGATTTTATGAAACAGTGTACATATACCAGCCTACTTTTATAAAGAACGAATGACAATTTGCTTTACTTAATTATAATAAAGGCAAATTTTTATAACAAAGTACATTATTTTTAGTATTATAATTATTATGTTTCTTAAGAACAGACATCAACTCAAGTTAGAGGTCTAATATATAGAAAATTTTTACAGCTTTATAAAAAATAATACAAAAATCTATTTGTTAATATTTCCTCATACCAATATTTAATTAAAGTTTATAATCAAGTTCAAGACCTCCTTAAGCAAATGATTTCAAAATAGAATTTCAAAAATCTTGAAATGAAAACATGTTAAAAATGCCCCTTAACATATTTGTGTAATTTAGTGTATGAGTCCTCAATTCACCTCTTAAAAATTCGATAAAATTAGATTTCAGGGGAGTTGATTTGGAATTGGTTCATTTCAAATTAAATGAAAGAGATGAATAATAAAAATGAAACTACAAAATGCCACCTTACAAGGTTACTACATTTACTGAAAGTAATAAGGAAGCATATGACATCTGACTTCCTACCATAAAAATTTGATAATGAAAAATAGTTAATTGAGTTTCTTGTTCATAAAATTACCTAAGTTTCCAAAAGTTTAAAATAATGAATCCTGCATATTGAGGCTTTATGTATGAAGAATGCATATAATTAGTAGACTGCCCCCCCCCCTCATTTGAATTAAATCTCGCAGCTTCAGCTAGCATTATTAACTGAAATAGAAAATAATATTAAAAGTATTATTAAGAAAATTATTATTGAGAAGTATAGATTAAAAATCTATACTTCTCAATTCTTTGAATCAAAAAAATTCCTTGAATTTATCCTGTTTCCTTGATTCTTCTAATTCCTGATTAAGAGACTAATTTTTTCTGGAAAAGATATTAAACTTATAAGTATCTCAAAACCTGATTTATTCATTTTCCCTAAATTTTTGTACAATTTATTTATATTCCCTGCATTTCCCTGATATTTCTATTCCTGATATATGATTCCCTGATATTTCTATTTCTGATATTTCCTGTTCTATGGACATCCTATTAAAATAACCAAGTTTTTTTTTTTACCTATTACTGTTTGAAAACTATACTATCTGTTAGAGAAAAGAGAAACAAAAGATCAGTTAGAAAAAATTAGGGGGGAAAAAGGACTTAAAATGTGTAAAAGCTTCACATTTCATTTATCCAAGTTTACCAGCCAATAGTGCTTTCTATATTATACCTTAAGAATATTAATTATAGAAGAATAGAAGAATTTGAAAATAGAAGAATTTGAATTAATAGAAGAATTTGAAAATAATGGCTACTTACAACAAAATTTTCAGCAGTTGCCTCAACTGATTGCAACTGAAAATCTGGTTTCTTCAATGGAAAAACTAATTGATCAGCCTATCAAGAACAGAAATTAATTCATTACACATCAAAGATTTATGAAAAAAATAAAACATACAACAGACCTGCAAAATATTAAAAAAAAAATTCCTCAATCTTTTCCAAATAAATTTAATCTCCCTCCTCTTCTTTTAAAAAAAAATGAAGGTTTATGTATGTATATATATACAGTCGGACCTCTATTTAACGAAGTCGCTAAATCCCGATAATAAGTNTGATATCCAGATACTGATAATATATATGGCCAGCCATTGATAATTCGCAGACTGTTTACAAATATGAATTAATAAAAAATAAATGTTGTTAAATGGTAAGTGATCAAAGAGAAGGGGGGAATAATAATAAATTATCGACTAAGTATTTTTAAAAACAAAATGCCAATGAAATTTAAACAAGAGTTGTAACATTTCTTTCTCTTCGACATGAAAGCATTGTTCAACAATACGCTTTTGAATCTACCCTTTAATAGAAATACACAAACGATAAGGAAAAAAAATATCTCTGCATAAATGAAGCTCAGCCCTTGTACGAACAATGGAGGCTACTGACAATTTTTCCGAATTCTTTTTATACCAGACTCATGTTTCCGAAGGCGCTTTTAACGGGAAAATTGTTGATTTTATTATCAATGAAAGTTTCAGTTTTATGTTTCCAAATTAGATTTCATCTTTAAAGGTCATTCTCGAGAAAGAGTTCCTTTTATTCAATTTATTCTTCTTTCAATACCTTTATTTTTATCAAAACACTTAATAAAGCCTCCCGATTGCGCATAGCAGCAGCTTATTTTAAATGTTCCAAAATGTCTTCATTTGTGTCGATAAATACAGTACATGATATATATATATATAAGAAGAGAGTAAAATGATAACACATAACCAATTACAGAAGACTTGCAGTTAGTAATGCACAAAACAACCAAGTAAAATTGAGAACGCATGAGTCTGAAAAAGTAATAATTTTTAATAATGCTGTCTGCTGAATTGTTACAACTAAATTTACCAGATAAAGTTAGTTTAAATTTTTATTTTGTTTTAAGTAGGCCTAATGATGGTGTAACAGTTTTACATTGTTGTCCGTGCATTTTTATAGGCCGGAAAATAACTTGGTAGGATCCAATTTCCTCATTCATTTCTATACTGTTTTGGTTGTCATTAGCATAAAACTAATAAAAGTCGTAAAGGTATTGTTTTTCTAAAAAGATTTTTGTATCCCTAATTTAAAGTTATTTTCCTGTGCAGCTATTATTACGTTTTTAATTCAATTTTCTAGTTTAAAACTAAGAGAATAGTTGAATTTTTTTATTATTATTATAATGTAATTCTGCACTACATTTTAAGATAAAGTTAGTTATAAAGGTCATCAAATCTTATAAAACCGTTTAACAACTATTATTGTTGTGCAAATAACGTTAATATACTGTAATAAGTTACAATTAAAGAGATTCGTTAAATGATTTATAACTTAATGATCAGCTTCAAGTGTAATGAGATGCAAGCAAAAATAATATTTAATATATCCGCCCATTTGGTAAGCGAAAATTTTAAATTTCGGTTGTGAACTCGTCAAATTTGTTTGTACAATATATTGTTATAACTATATATTGTTATAACTATATATTGTTATAACTATATATTGTTATAACAATATAATTGTTATTTTCAAAAATTATTACTTAGAAAAATTACTTCTGCTTACCAATAGATCTAAATTCTTATAATACAAATAGATAATAATATTTTGACGTGGGAAGTAGAGGTGCAAGCGTAAGCAAACAGAATCTCCTTTTACATATATGTTAAGTGAATAATTTTAACTTTAGTGGGAAAATTGTGTTCTGCCAAAAAACGACAAACAAAACCCGATGATTGTGAAGCAATTATTGGGTTCGTAGCAGGATATACTCGTGCTATACTCGTATTGAGCTTTAGCTTAACATAAAATTTAGATAATCTGTTTACATTTTTTGTTTTAAAATAACTCTTGGTAATGATTACACATGCTGTATTTTTAATAACTTCGGAAAATCAAATTTTAAGAAAAATTAAAAACTGTCTGTTAAGAACGCAACATATTGTGTCATGCTCATAACGGTCAGTTTTCAAATGTTTTTATTAATTGCTAAAACTAATAAAATTGCTGTAAGATTAAGTGGCAAAAAGAGTTATTTAAAAAAAAATACCGTAATTTCGCGGTGAAACGCCACCTGGTATATACGCCACTCCCTCAAATATCGACTGACAGAAAGAAGTTTTTCACCGGACACGCCGAGCCGAATTTTTAACAATTAAAGAATTTTGAACTTAATGCAGGTATTGATTAAAGACTTAACACATGCTCTAAATATGCATATGTATATAAATTAAATAGTTAAATAAAAATAAATAAAAGGATATTAAATATTAAAAAAAATAGAAACAATCCTAGTACATAAAATAGATTTCAATAATTTTCTAAGTAAAATTAAGCATTTTCTAATTTTAAAGTGAAGTAACCATTAAAATATAAATAAAATAATTAATATATCATAAACAATTAAAATAAGCATGAAATTTTTTAAAAATAAAACGATTTTACTTTTAAATTAACAATCTAAAATCCTGTTTTAGAAATAAACGATAAATCCAAACAAATTTCGTTCAAAGAAAAACTTAAGAATAATTTATTTAAATATCACGTATCACTATATATTCATATCATTGCACTTAAAAATTCCTCAAAATCAGAACTCTCTGTATCAGAGCAAAATAGTTTTACTATTTAATTGTTTATTTCGGGTTAATCTCCGTCACTTTCGGTTTCGTTTGTCCCGGGATGATTTCCGCTCTTTTGAAGCCATTTATCACAGTTTCTTTTTCTCTTTTAATTGCTGACAGCTTAAACGCAGCGGTATAATTTTTCCTCTTAATGGGAGGCATTTAAAATGGATAACTTAAATACAAGTTATGTTAAAACAAAACGAAAATAGTATAAACGAAACAAAAATATTAAGGAAAGAAAAATATTAATAAAACAAAAACGCATCAGAACTGAAGATAAAAGGATAAAAAAACATAATAATAATAAGCTGAGGAAGATGATCGAAATCAGACAGAAATATGAGCAATGAAAGAAAAACAAAAACAATAAAAAGCTCTCTCCCAAGCATTTAAAACAAGTTTCTATTTTTAGCAATTCCTCCCCCTATTTTCGCTTCTCAAATCAGGTTTCTTTTATCCTTGTCTAAAATTCTCACACACTTTGCTTTTTTTCCCTCTACACTGACCCTCTGTGAAAAGTTTGAAATTCTTTTTGAACATTCTAATTGTAAGATTATTGAAGGTCATTCCAAGCTCATCAGCATGCTTTATTTACCAAACATTCACATGTTTTTAACAACCAGCTGAAGAAAAAAGGGGAGTGGTAAGAGGCATCCATGAAAAGTGGAAGAGTCATATTTCCTGGAAAGAACGGGGGTAGGGGAACGTTTGTTTTAGTTACATTATAACTGGCCCCACCCTGATTTTCTTCATTCATACCTTTCTGTTTTATGCTTCTCCACTCCACGCCCATTTCCTACACTCAACAGCTGTCCATACAGCAGAAGGGAAAGAGAGACTTTGTTCTCTTGTGGATAGTGGTTTCCAGAAAGTGATTCCAAGAAAGGATTAGGGAGGGGAAAATTCCAGGTGCGCTGACCATTCCTTGGAGTGACATTAAGCATGAAAAAATAAATAAAAAGTACAGTAACGGGTGGAAAAAATTAAGATGAAATTTCCAGAACTGTTTCTAAAAAGCAAAATTTTTTGAAGAGAAAAAAAAGTAATACTACATAGGCCGCCCCATTAGATACGCCTTCCTACTAAATTTTCAAGTTTTAAATCAGTAACGCCGCGGCTTATCTCCGCGAAATTACGGTAATAATAATTAAAACAGATGCACTTTTATAAAACGTTATACGCATTTAAAAATGGGTGATGATTAGAATAGTAACTAGTCACATTTTAACTATATTTAAGTTGAATAAGTTTTTCCAAAAAAAAAAAAAAAAAAAGACATTTATAATTGCTTCTTCTATATCAGGGGTTTCCAACTGGCTACCCGGGGACCGCATCCGGCCCACAAAGTCTTTTTTTGTGACCCGCGAACTAAAATATATTAGTTGTCATTTTTGCATAAAATCTATATGGATTTAAAATACGTTTCTTGTTAATAGAAAGGTCATTTCTTCGTTTCAGTGAAATTTAACATACCATCAGTGCAAAAAAATTTATTTCTTCTGGTTTTGCATCGAAGAAAATACTTATTCAAATACAAAAATAATTGTGTATGTTGCTCTTTTTTATTTCATTTTTTTATATTTTGTGAATATAATTCAGCGTGTGTGTATCAGAAATTTTCTCTAAGAAATTCTCCGATTTAACTTTTTGACACCACTAATTTTGGACGAAAATATTTACACACACATTTGTAAATTTTAAATGTAAATATCTATTCTCTGGTGGTTTCAGCAGACAAATCTCAATTTTCTCATTGAACATTTTGTGTGGCACTATGTAAGTTTTAATACCAACCAAAGTTTTATATCTTAACAATTAGATATCTGTTGCACATTAATTATTTAATACATAGGTGCACATTAAAGTTATTGTAGCCCGAATTTTTATTATTTATTCAATATTTCTAAAAATATTATTAGTAACAATTAAGTATTTTTAAAAATCTACTTCTTATTTTAATTTGTAATTCAATCCTTTTGCTTTGTACAACTTAGTAAAACTCTGACAGTAATATTTAATGTTCCTTCAAACATAAAAGAGTCCTACATAAAATTTTGATGAAGCTGCGGCTTGTGGATTTGTGTTTTTAATTGTGGCCCCCAACCTCATGCAAGTTGGAAACCCCTGTTCTATATAATAAAAAAATTATCATTAAAATTTTGAATAAATATTAATAAGAACACTAACAATAAATTTAAATTTTAAAATAACAAGTTTATATAATATTAAGACCACTGTGCAAACATTTATGAGATAAAAAGAACCTTAATTTGAGAATTGATATAAATATGCAACAATAAAATCAATCTGATTACTACTCAGTTAACATGTAAAATAAAAAATAAGTATCAAAATTTAAGATTAAAAAAAAAGAAAATTTGATACTTACTGTTCGATTTGAGTGAACCAAACTGTCCCATTTAGTGATATCTTCACATACTTTTTCATATGCTAAAGCTCTTTTTATCTAAAAAGAATAACACTAATTTTATCTGCCATCAATTAAAAAAAGTTACATTTTTAAAATGGAAAAAAATGATATGAAATACTTATAGGGCAACTTTAAGTAATAAATAGATATGTAATTTTATCTTTTATGAATTAACAAAATTTATTAATTTCTAAAATGAAAAAAAAAATTCAAAATACTTATGGATCAAATTTAAGAGATAAATCGACAATTTTTCTTGTACTTTTTAAACCTTAAGGCTTTTCTTTTCATAAATAAAAACTTTAACTGTCTTTTATAATAAAAAATAAACTTTTTTTTTTATAATGAAAAAATAATGAGGCAGAAATTCATGAAGCACATACAATGTTTGGTTAAAATTTGAACAAGCATTACATGTTTGGAATTTAAAAATAAAATGCATCAGGAAAAAAAAAATTTTTGATAATGCATGAAACTTTTTGCACTTATGAAGGATTAACATTCATAAACTCTAGAGTCATAAACAGTCTCCCAGATCATGCAAAATACATAAACAGTTGTAATTTTTAAAGTGAAAAAAAAATAGGAAGATGAACTTCTAAGTACTTTTCTCAATAGTCATAATTAGGGTTATAATTCCCATCAGTTTAAATTATCCAAAAAATAATTATGGAGATGAAAAAATGACAAAAGAAAAAAGACTATGAAGTCGAATGTTGAAGAATTTTCAAACAAAAAGCACAAACAAACTAAAGGTAGGCAATTTATAAAAATTTTCTAGTTAATTTTTAAACATTATTGCTAGTTCATTACAGTATTACATTTCTAGTTACAGTAGAAAAACTTAATAATGCAATCCCAAAAACTGAATTGATTTTACAATCCTTAAAGCAAACAAAAATTGACAAATTTATTGATTGATCAATTTGTTGATTCAAGATTTTATTTTGAAAGTTCTAGACCAATTCAATTTTTTCCCAATTAATATTAAAATGCATATCTGTATTTTAAGATATTTGTGGATAAAAATTATTTTAAAGAATTAATATTGAACTGTTTCAGACATACATCGCCATGTTTACAGGTTAAGCTAAATTATGTGCTAAATTATCTATATGACACAAAATTCCATATAACACAAAGCCTCATGTTTCAAGAATTGAAATGCATAGTTCTTCAACTGTTTATATTACATTTCTTATTTCATTTTTAAGCATAATTTAGACAAACTCAGATTTCTGGAGTGAAATTTCTTAGTTTCTATGCTCTCATTCTGCCAAATTTAATTGTAGTTACAATTGCAAAAATTAAAATGTAAATCAGATTTTTTACCTTTTGTTGGTGTTTTTTATGCAAAGGTACACTAAGTTTTTTAAGTTTTTTGACATTTTGCAAATTTTTTTGAGCAACTTGACCAGTAGTCTTGAGTGAGGTCTTGACCAATTCATCAAGCTTTACTTTTTCTTTACCAACTATTAAAAAAATAACAAAAAGAATTAATGTATCATTTTACAATTTTATAATCGATATAATGTATAACATATATATAATAAATAAATAAATAGTATTAAATAAAGAAATAATAACCTACTTAAAAAATTTGCTGCTTAAAAAAAGTTAAGAGATGATATTTTGAAAATAGTTTGTAGTTACAGTAGGGAACCGATTATCCGGAACGATCGGGACCATTGCTATTCCGGATAACTGATTTTTCCGGTTTTCTGAATCGCTACAAAAAGCTGTTTTTTTTTATTGTTAAACCCAACTAAAAAAAAGTATTTGGAAATAATCTTAAAAAGAAGAAAAAACGATGAAGTAATACACTAATGATTATTTATAAAATGATGGTAAGGTAAACATCTTTCAAAAAAGAAAGAAAAATCCTAAAATCTTATGAGGAAAAAAAAATTTTTTTTTTTTAAATGGCGGGAAAATTTATCGAATTTCGTTCCGGTTTTTTGGTTTTCCTGTTTTCTGATTTCCGGATAACGGGTTCTGTACTGTACTACATTTAAGAAAAACTGTTGCAGCTATAGCTAATTATACTTTTAAGATATTAGTAGTAGTTAAGTACAAAAAATTTAGTTCTTCCAATCACGCCTTTAAGTTTATTTAATTTTTAACGCAAGCAACAATCTTTTTAGGACAATTTTAATTTTTAATATTTATTTAACATTTAAAGATGCTAAATAACTAATTCCAAGAAAATGAAAAATATACATGATTAAAAATTTAAAGTTGGTAGTAAAAGTCAGCATATTTGAATAGCAAAATTAGGCACCTATTCTTAAGATTTGCCAAATGCGAATGAGAAAAACAAAAGTGCCAACATAAAATATAAAGTTGCCAACAAAAAAGGAAAACAAAAGTGAAACACAATACTAAAAAAACCATGGTAACTGAGAGTATAACAGAAAAATAAAGATGAAAAACAAAAATAGAAAAACTGCCGTGGCGCTTGTCACATCAACTTATCTTGATTTCCTGGAAACTTGTTTCATTGGACGACAAAAAGAGAATTGTCATTCTCTTGTTAACATCATAAATTCCTAACTTCCTCTCCACCGTGAGTGTAGAAGTATTTTGACCTGATTTGTCTATTTCGGCCACACCGGTTTTTCCAGGCAACCTTGTGCTTGTTTTATATTTCAAATCACTTTCGGTTTCCTCACTTACAACTGTTAAATCTTGAGAATGGATGGGCAACCAATGTTTAAGTGCTTAAATCACATCAACTTTTATTACCATCTTTATATTCTTTTTAAACCAACGAAGTTTTTAGTAAGTAATTACTAAGATGAAAAATACTAAGAATGTATTAAAAGATGACATTAGATTTATTGGTATTTTTATTTTTTCATTATTTTATTAAGTACAATGAAACCAGATAAGTTGTTCACCTCTATACTTTGACCAGTTTTCGAAATTGATGTTAATGATCAATCACCAAACTAAGTTGTTAATGATTAATCACCAAACTTTCTAAGTTGATCACTAATCAAAGTGGACCAGCAATTTATTAGCCTACAAATAGTCAACACACACAGGTTTCCTAGCAGTATCTTTAACCTTCCAAGTGTTGATCCACTAGGTATAATTGTAAGGAAATTTCCGTGATATGTACTAGTCACCCATTGAATAACACAGAGGAAACTAGTTTTTTGATCCTATAAAGCTTGCAGCTTAAAACTCGGAAAAAAACAGGACTATCACTCAGAATGTTGACTAACTTCAATGGTATAAAAAAAAAAAAAATACGGTAACTAATTGTAATAATTTTGTTTTTAAAAAAAACTCGCATTATTCTCCATAATAAAAAAGTCACTCATTTTTTTATAGTTGCTTGTAACTCAGGATTGAGTTTTTTACTACAGTCTTAAATGGTTTATGATATATATNTTATATTTATATATATATATATATATATATTACCTATGTTTAAAATATTATGAGCTTTCTCTAATAAATAGCGCTGTGAAACTTGCTATGTTGACCACCCTGTATGTTGATAATCTATTAAAGTTGATGTTAATAATCAAATACTAGCAAAGCAACTTCCAGTTCTATAAGTTACACACTAATCCAAGTGGGATAGCAATGTTGCCCTACAAGTATTCAACTAGCAGATTTTGCTGAATAATAATAAATATTTCTCACAAAAAGGACTTACCTTCAGTAACATTAAATTCAGAAATATTTAAGCTAGCTTCCGATCTCTGTACAAGAATATCACTGCAAAAAAGAAAAATAATTAATTATCTTTTATACAATTATAATAAGAATTAAATAAATTGGTAAGTATTTGATGGTTTAATGATAAATAAAAATGGTAAATCAAAAATTTTATGTGCATCAAAAATTTTAAAAATTGCATTGATATATAGTCATAAATACTATTAATCATTACTCATATTTTAAATAGCTTAAAGTCAAGCATTAAATTCTACTTTTTTTAGTATACGACAATTAAACAGTGTTGCATACTTCTTATTAATGCACTATGCTAATCTTATGCCTATAATAAGCCTTGAAATGGACCAAAGAAAAGATCAGGACACATTTTTACAAAAAAAATTAGGACATTTTTTAGTACAGTATAAACATACCTGGCTACTTAATAAAAACAAACAAAGAAACTTATAATTTTCTGTAAAGTAAAATAAATAAAATCACATTTTATAAAAGAAATATAAAATATATTCTTTTCAATTCTGTTTATTTTTTGAGAACAGAAAATTTTAACAGTTTCCGGCATAATTTTATTAATGGAACACTCAATAACTAATAATAATTTCAAATCAAAGCACGGAGAAAAAAAATTTAGTACTACTATGTTAAAAAAAATAATCGATTAAATATAAAATATCAATAAGTCAGTACTCTTTCATACCAACATTAAATTAAAATTTCAAGACTTCCACAATCAAATAATTTTTAGGTAAGATTTCAATAATATCAAAATAAAAACACAGCGGGTATTAAAATTTCTGTTCAAAGGAAATTTAAAGGCTGATCCTATAACTCACCATGTAAAAATTATATGATTACTGAATTATTGTTTAGGAACAATAATTTTAAAAATCATACAATTGTGAAACAATGAAATTTTACCCTACAATGTTATTTCATTAAAATGAATGAAGTCTCAAAAAGTTGGAAGCAATGAAACCTACAGATAAAAAAAACAATAAACATTAGTGCAGTGTCTCTAAGTCTGAACTATCGAATTTCACTATTTTTAAAAGCATTACTGTTTAAAACAAAAAGATATTGCATTGAATACCCAAATCTTTTGATTTTCCAAATGAATTTTTTTATTTTATACATTAGCAGAAAAAGGATGTTCTGGACACACAAAAGTCAGGAATACAAGGACCAAATATTTTTTTAACCAGAACAACTACAATTCCTACTAGCATGCATTGGCGTATAATCAAAGTATTCAAGAAAGATTTATAATTTCTACTCCAATATAATTATTGCTAATTAGATTAGAGTTATATTTACAATTAATTAATTCAATGTTTTAAGACACTATTAAAAAAGTTGACATACTTTTTGATTTCGTAAATTTTAGGGATGTTACAAAAAATAAATAAAACCGGAAATGATAAGCTATAACAAGAATAAAAAATAAAACTAGAAAAAAACGCAGTGCCTGACTTGTAAACATCTATTTAACACAATGTATGTGCATGTGACATAGCATATTTTTAAACATGCAACGGGTGACTCCATTATTTACGAATGTCATATTTAACAATATAACAAAATTTTTAATTAAGAATTAATCTCTGCATTTAATTAAATAAAGAATTTGTAGCAATGTGAGTGTATCTGCATTGCTTAAATTCATACAAACACTTGAATATTAGTTTATATTTAATATTTTTTTAAATAATTTTTTTATAAAAACTCAAAATATTTAGTTTTTTTAACTAAAAAATACATTTTATTTTTAATTTATTTGAACAAGTATGTTTTTAAAAAGAGCATATTTATCAAGGTACTAAAAGTTGCTTTCAATTATTAACATGGTTTTCATGATTTTTATTGTGAATGCAAGATATAGTATCGTTCCTTTTTCCTTCAAATTTTAGTTTTCAAGAAAATTAAATTATAAGTTTTTTAAATTGTTTACATTTAAATAATCTCTGTGCTAAGGTTAAACTTTTGTGGAAAATTTTGAGTTCTATGTAAAACTTTAGAAAAGTTCTAGAAGTCGGAAAAAATTGCACATAGATGTTCTCAATGAGAATCAAAACCACCCAGACCCCGTAATGCTTGAAAAATATTTGATTACCCTTTAGATTTTTTACGCTTCTTATTTTCCACCACAGTAGTTTCCCAATCATCTTGAGCAATAGCTACTTTTTTACTCTGAAAATAAAACAAGCAATTTTGAATTAATGTTACTTTGATGAAATTAATGGAATGAATTAGAATTTGTGTAGCACCTCATTATTAAAGAATGTTATATGCATTTTGATAACTAAAAAAAAAAATTAAACCAATCTCTTTAGAATTGATTTTACCACATAAAAATGTGTCTCACACATATTAGTTAAGTTTTAAAAAATAAACAGAGTATATTAACAAGATAAAGGCAAACAATTTATCCATACAATTTATCTTTAAAAAAATTTATAATAAATAAATATATAAAATAAGGATTTATAAGTAGCATAGCTTTAAAAAAAATACTTTTTTGAAATTCTAAACTTCGAAATCTTAAATTAACAGATTCTGTAGTTTTTTGTCATTTAAATTTACATAGTTTAAAATGTCGAAAAACATAAATCTTTTATGTTACATTTCTAAATTTTTCCACTTATTATTAAATTACGTAAAATAACAAATAATTATTAATAAGTATTTTTTATACAGAATTATCTACGGGTTGTACTGAAAAAGTACTTTGAAAAGTATTGTGCTGCCTAATAACACTAGGTATATCATCAAAAGTTTGAGAATAAGTTTGTGTTAAAAATATTGAGAAAACAAATTAAAAATATAACCTAGAATCAAAAATGGTGAGGGTAGAGAACTCTTAAGATTATTGCTTAGTTCATGTGAAAATCTGATCATTACAACAAAAGTTATTGAAGGATATATATATATATGTTACTCTTTGAAAGTACAGTGAAACCTCCTGTTATGGACACTCCTGCAAAATGGACACCTCTCAATACGGACATATTTTTAATTCCCTGGGAATCTTCTATGAATAAACCATTACGTACATTCTCCGCAAAGCGGATACTCCCGTAACCGGACGTGGACAGTCATTTTGGTCCAGAAACGTTTTTTATCTCTACAAACCGGACAATACTTTTTCTAAATAAATTGCAAGCTAAAAAAATGCAACTTTTCATCATTTTTAAAGCATGTAAATAAAAAATTTTGCCTTATCCATAACTAAAAATGTTGTTAAGTTATTTCACCACCGAAAAATCAATTTTTCTCCTGTCACCTTGCCTCATCTTTGTAAGGAAAGGAGAGAAAATGGTACTGCACTCCTGAAATAATTCTGACATTGGCATCTTTTGATCTTTTCATCTGGACCAGACAGGTTATGAGACCCCTCAAGTTAAAATGACTTCTCTCAATGCTTCTTCCCCATTGAAAATTTCTTTAATTTTCTTATCAATTTGAAGACTATTTAACACAACTGGGGTAAAAAAAAGAGAACAGAAGTATAATCTTTGAGGTATTTATATAAATTAAACATTTATTCAGACACTTGATAGCTGATCAATTGTGAATAATTATCTCCATAGGTCCTCATGACTTACAGGTATGCATTACTTTTTTTTCTGTGAATCATGGGAAGTTTATTTTCCAAGAAGGTATTAACCATGTTCCCTATCAAATGATAAGTAGGTGTAAGGGGATGTGAACCTAATAATTGAAACGGACTGAGGACAGTACGCTTCTATTTGGTATCATATGTCTAACTTGAGTATCTATGCTAATAGGAAAATTATACTTATTTATCTGTAGCTACATCCAGAATTATGTATTTATATCAAATTTCTCTATCTATTCTTTTTTATCTTTCTTATTGTTTAAATAAATATTCTTGTAGATATTTACAGTATCCTTGTAGATATTATTTATTTCTACATTGTTGAGAATATTCTAAAAACAATATACGGTGTTAAATTTCGTTATTAGGGTACCCTTCCCGTAAACGGACAACTCTCATAAACGGACAAGTTTTTTGGTCCCATGAATGTCCGCTTAACGGAGGTTTCACTGTATTAACATTGTAAATTCGTAGTGTGACATATATATTGTATATATATATAACAGTTTCCGNTATATATATATACATATATATATATATACACCCGGTTCCCCTGTCGCAGTTTTAGGCACTTTCTGCTTCTGGGCCCGGGGGAGGGAGTCTCACTATGCACAAAAACTAAAAAATATGATAACTAAAAGGGTTAATTAATATAAGGTGTTTATAATTTTATAAATTTGTGATTATAACTGTCAAAGGAAAAAGATCACAAAAAAATGTGTAAAAACATGTGAAAGAAAAAGAAAACTGTAAATCTCGGAAAAAACGATAAAAAAAATATCAAGGCAATTTTACCTACAATTAAGAAAAAAATATTTTCATTCAGAAAGCATAAATTAAAACTTTTCAGAACATACCTTATTTTTACTTTCTACATCAATGTCTTCAACTTCCCATTCATCCTGATTATTTCTGAAAAACAAAACATTAAATTAGACCATCTAGAAGAGAAAATTACATTCTAAACAGCCCAATATTAGTTCGAGTCATGATAACGCAGGCATTGGGCTGCCATTATGAATAACTAGGTCAGATCCATAACTAGGGTCAGATCCATAGTGGCAGCATTAAGCTCAACTTCAGATTAATGGGCACCAGCTTGTCTGGGAAGTAAATGTAAAAGTGCAGTGCTGACCTCATTGCAAGAATCATGCTGTAGGTCACAAAATTGTGAAGCTCCATAATTCCCCTGGTTATTGTGAGATTGCCTTACTTTTCTTATTATGTTTGTCTGTTCTATGAATTATCATATGCATGATTCTCTTACAAATGCTCAGTTATAACAATACACAGCTAGAATGGGGTTAACTGTTTTTTTTAACGTACTGTTTTTTTTAAATGACTGTTAACTGTTAACGCTTAACTGTTGTTTTTTTTTCAATGTAAATACTTACCTCATATTGTGCAAATCTCCGAAGCCAACAACAAGATGCACTTTACTGTGTTTGTTTGTGGTAAGGGGGAAAACCCTTTTGCACCTTTAAGTACCAGTTTTTGTTTATACTCAGAGCAAAGATGAGGCAAATATTTATGTTTTAGTTTCAAGTTTAGATAACGGGTAGGGTGACCAGGGGTAATTCACGATCACTCTGTTTCTGGGGTAAATAATAATCACCTAAGTTTCATTCAACAACAAAAAAAAATTTAAATTTGAGACATGGACGAGAATGCTTGTACACTTTACTAAAGTATAACTACATTTACTTAATAATAGTTTTTTACCTAATCTAACAAAATAAGTATATTTTAAACTGTTTTCTGTATTTTCCATTTAAAAGATGGGTTTCAAAATGTGCATATTTCTGTGCACTCTTAATAATAAATATTTTGAGTTACTTTCTTTTTCTTTGATATAAAAATAGTGTAAGCTTTTGTTTAATTGTTTCACATCTACTGTAAACATTATATGTAATTGATTTCTAGGAAACTATATCAAATGTTGCCCCCTACAGATGGGGTAATTATTGATCACTGGGGTAATTCCTGATCATTGTCATTTCTTCTTAAAAATAGTATAAAAAATAGCTAATTGCCTTTTCTTAAATAACAGTGCATATTTATTAAGTGGAACAACTATGAAATATATTCTATCTGTAATCACAAAATTTGTTTTTAACTGTATACAAGACAAATGTGTTCCGATTTACACCATTTCTCGTTTGTCTTACCTTGCTTCTATCTTAATTTTATTTGCGTACATAGTTAGAATAGTTTTTAAGTTTATAAATTAACCTAATGTAAATATGGTGAGAAATAATAAGTCTAAAAAGGATACTAAGCTTCTAGAAAGAAAAATGAGTGAATTTCCTGTAATGATTGAAAATGAAAATTTCAGTGTGAGAGCTGCTGCCAGAGCTGTTGACATACTTTACTTAACTTTACACTCTCACATGATGAAGTTAAAAATCCAGCAAAAGTAACCCTTGTGGGAACTCTTTCTTTTATTCCAGCAGAACATGAGAATGAGTGCCTAAAATGTATGGCACGATGCAAAGATTTTTGGATAATTTAAAGCGTTAATCTTTATTCTTACTTTTAAATAAATTGTTTTATTAGCTGCTTAAACATATATTTTTGGTTTATTTGTTTGAACTTGATGTCTTATTTGTTAATCACCATTGTATAATTATTTTTAAACAGCCCCTTAACTATAAAAACTGCCAATTAATTACCCCAGAAGTGATCAGGAATTACCCCAGAAATGATCAAGAGAAGGGCTAATTCCTGATCACTATAAATTTAAAATCTTTTAAATTCTAATTAGATTTTTAAACAAATGAAGGTAGTGCGGTGCTCGCCACTCTCACCAGTCTTACCGCCAGCTTGGCGATTTAAGATCTTCAGGTAAAAGCAACCCTGTGATCCTAGTGATATATATTCTGTCCTTCAGAGGAAGAACAGCCACTTACCTTTTCAACTTTTTCATTAGCTAGCTTGGTCGCAGGACGACCCATAATGTTTAATTTAGTTTATGTTATATTGATGTTTGTGTTCATGAAATAAATATGCTTTAAGAGAAACCCGCATTTCGTACTCACTTCAGTAGCATAGGAATAATCTCATATAACCTCAACTTCCAGTAAATAATAAAATTCTATCGTGAATAGTTTTTTTACAAAATAGATGTTTGCATTTTTTGATCAGGAATTACCCCAGGTCACCCTAACTACTATGTCACAAAAAAAAAAAATTTCAAGTTATCTATTCCAAAACACAGTAGTCGTTATGGGTTACTTATAATTTTTTCAAATCACTATACCAAAAAAAAAAAAAAAAAAAAAANAAAAAAAAAAAAAAAAAAAAAAAAAAAAAAAAAAAAAAAAAAAAACATGCATTAAAGGAATTCCCTTACCAGAACATTTTAGACATGGTAAAATCTATTGAAGGTTCTAATATATTTAGTTACTTTTAACTTCGGTATGTCAGATAATCTCAATAATCAACGTGAACATGCAAACATAAGCAGGCTATGTAATCAAACAAGCATTTTGAAAACTATCTGAAACCATATGTTTATTTTGATTATAGTTATGTTTTAAAACAGTGTTTATATACATTATAAAACTAATTTTAAAAGTTCTAGGTATTTGAAATAAAAAAATTAGTTCAGTGTTTTCACTACAGCGCGAGAACGCGAGAATCTCGCATATTTTTTTCTTTTCTTGCATTAAAAAATGATTACCGCGAGAAAATCGCACATTCTATAAAGCAGTTTCAAAATTCGCGAATTTCTTGCATTTTGAAAAAAATTTCTCATTGCGCCATTTAGAATGAAATCCGTTTCACTTTTCTTCCTGGATCTTTCATTATTTTCAACATCTGCCCCATTATCTAGCTTCCCTATTTACCAGTATTGTTCAGAACCTTTAAGAACAACAGAACACCATCCCTATGAACCACGGAACCTCTTTTAGAACGCATTTCTCTGCAACCACGTGCTTACCGTAGGTAAGGTTCCTCCATGTAAGAAGTTCAAATTTTTTGCGCATTAATGTAAGATGGGCAAATACCTTGTAAAGGCAATATCTTTTACTCCGAAATGGACAAATGAAAATGAAACAAATGTGGGTAGAAACAATCAGAACGAAACAAACGCGCATTTGAGCAACCTAATGAGAATAGCTGCTGAAAAGTAGATGTAGAACATTTTCCATATGATGATGTAAAAAAAATATTGAATGCTTTAAAAACTAGAAGATGTTAAAAATGTATTATAATTAAAGAAATGATTTTTTTTTCAAATCTCTATGCGTTTNTTTTTTTTTTTTTTTTAGATATCTCACTTAACTTTTTGAAATCTCACCCTGTTTTTGAGAAAGGGTGAGAAATTCTCACCCATTTTTTTTCTGCGATGAAAACACTGTAGTTGTATACTTCAAAGCAAAATTAATGGAGAAACCGACTAATTTGTTTAAGGCAACCGTAAAAAAATGCTATACAGTGATGTTTAATTAACATTGGTAGTAAAAATAAGCTATGAAAAAGCAAAATTATTAAAATTCTAAGTAAGATTTTTTCTTGATGGTATACTTGTGTCAAATTTTACAAAATATGAAAATAAAACTTTTGTAATGAGAGGAAGGTATGAATCACATAAAATAAATAACTCGTTCTGGGGTTCATGAAAGCTGTGTTCAGCCACGAGTTTAATACATAATCAAGAAATAACAATATTCATCTACTAAAGTTAATGAATCAGTTCCGTGGCACGGAACTTTAACTGCTCCATCCAAATTTCTTTAACTTTTAAAAAGCTAGATGGTTAACTTTTTGACTCAAGCTTTCACGAGAGTCATTCTTTTTAATCAATGTTTTATATGTACCAGTAAAACAAACTACTAGGAAAAAAAGGTACAAAAAATACTCTCGGTGCAGCATTGAAATATATTTTGTACTCCACTATTCAATTTAGATTTAAAACTTTTAAAAATTTCTTGTTTGTTTTCAAATGGTATCGTCAGAATATATCGCAAGCTCTAAAAGTGAACTGACCCATATTAAACAATACAAACAAAACAATACAAACAATACAAAAAACAACACAATAAAACAATAAAAACTTAAACAATACAAAATTTTGAAGTATACGTTACCGCATATTAATGAAGACTTGAATTGCTCGGTTAAATTAAGATACAAGTTCTAAATATTATAATTTGGATACTTAAAAATAAAAGCCAACACTTGTAAAACTTTCCAAAACACAACATGCGGGAAATTTGTTTATATTTTGACTCATTTTAATTTGATTGAGCAAATTTCAGTATTTAACTTATAGCTCACTGCTATGTATCTTAGCACGACATGTAGAGCCATTTTCGCTTGGCAGAAAAAATTGCGTATGGGAATTTTGAGATGCTGTCGAGAATTTGATTGGCAAGTTTCTCTCACTCCCATTGCTGTAATCAAAAATATCAATTGTTTTTGAGCAGTTTGAACGGTTTCTAATGCAGAAATCAAAATAAGGCTCTCACAGCAGATGCTGCAGCGGAAAAGCGAATATAGGGTAGAAATAAGCTGTCGTGTCGTGTTCATTTTACAAAACGAAAGTTTAGTAAATTTTGAAAGCTACAGAATTATGAAAAAATTGCATTTTTCGTAACAGAGGCGTATATAATGTATGATAATGTATATGATTCATATTATCGAAAGATTTAATATACATCTTAGCTTATAAAATAGATTTTATTCCGTATTTTTTTTAAAAATTTATATTTCCTCTCCGTATTATGATCTGCGGCCGAATAATAGCTAAGTCTTAGCAACTTCTGAGTAGTCGCTCTCGAGAAACTAATAAAAAAACATCATAGAAGAGTACCAACTCGAAGGGTAAAAGCTGTAGCCACGTCCAGGCAAACCTTTACATATATTTATATATATGGGTCATTCTCACAAAAACAGTCATTTTCATGTCCCCAGTATTAGTTGTTGAAAACAAAAC